GAAGAACTGAAAGCATGATACCACAGTGACATATTTGCACCCATGTTTATTAGCAGCACAATTTGTAATAGCCAGATCTGGGAAACTACCTAAGATTCCATCAACTGAGGAATGGATAAAAAAGTTGTGGTATTTCTATACAATGGAGTACTACTCAGCTATAAAGGATGATCACATTGAGATATAAATAAATGGATGCAGCTTGAGAACATACTCATAAGTGAAATAAATCAAACTCACATGTATAAATATCGAATAGTTTCCCTAGTGTAAGAAATGATAAGAATACCTAAAAGTGCATGGTAATCATGATTTCCATCATATTGGTTTGAAGCCATATAATGTTTTCATTCATTAATTGGAATGGTTTTAATCTAGGTTGTTCGATTTTATTGTCTGTGATAGTATGAATAGTTATTTTGAAGAAAATTAGGCAGCGTAATAGCTAGTGCTGATTTAATATCATCCTGTTTTGAAGTCATATCAAGTTGTTGTTCATCTGTTTCCATTGGTTTTAACGTGTTGTATCATATTATATTTTAATACGTGCAATAGTATAAAGAAAAATTTTTATAGGCAAAAAGATAGTATAGAAAACATTGTTCGATTTCTGTTAGCTGGTTCTAAATACCCTGCAATACTTTCATTCTCTTGAATGATTTCACACTGTCTTGATAAGTTTGATGCTATAGTAAACAAAGTTATGCTCAAATATGTCAAGGAAAGAGACACTATGGTAACAACTATTGTGTCAGGCTATATGGTGGTGAAACACAATGATGCTTAAATTGTTCAGTTCTGACCTGTGTTGTTCTATTGATATGTCCTCTTTTATCTCAATCTCCCTTTTTAAAAAAAATAATTTCTTATTATTTTTAAGGGAAAACTAAACTAAAAATAGCGGAATATTTTATAGTAACACTTATTTTCTTATTAACTGATTTGAACCCCTGTATTGTTCTCCACATCTTGTCCTCACTGATTTTACTACATTCTGTTTTGCTTAATAGCATCAAGTTTGAGGGTGGGCAACCACTTTGAAGCAACAAGATATTCTATGATGCTCATTATGGTTTGACTATTATATTCTTTGGAAGTCCTCCAATGTGGGTCTTATTGGCCTTGTTATGTACAGTTTTGTTCAAATCTATTATAACAGATGATACAGGCAACTCCTTTTAACATAGCAAGAGGCATAATGGTAACCATTGTTGATCACCTGGTATTCTCTTTTTTGCATTATATACTATGTCCATCCTCCTGTTCTGACTCTGATTTGCTTTGTCACGTTGGGATTTTTTGTTTTGTTTTGTTTCACTTGTTATGTTTTTATTTTTATTTTTTTTTTCCTCTTCAAAGAAAAAGTTATAAGAACTTTGGGAATAATAAAACCCCAAATGTGTAATTGTTATCATAAAAAAGAGAGGAAAACAAAGTGATCTAAAGGATATAACAGTATGTATATTTAAGTGTATAGAATAGAAAACCATATTACTGAGTTTTTGTTGGACCATTGAACAGAACTGTTTACAACTTCACTGTATTAATGTCCAATTTGTATGCTTTAATTTTGTAATCTGGACAACTATTAATGAGATGACAATATGTAATCTATTAACTAGTGATTTCTTACTGTATTTTTTCTTGAAATTCTGTATTCCTTGTACTCTCTTACTGTTTTGTTTTTCTCTTTAAATAAAAAAAACACAGAATCACCACATTTGGGCAACAAATGCAGAAAATGCTGAGCCTTCAAAGCTGATTCATGCAGGCACACATCCCTGAGATGTGCTGAGTCTCCTCCAGCTGATGGCAGGTTTTAAGGCAGGTGCTGAAAAGCACTGGGGAGAATATGGGGGCCAGAGCAGAGACCTGTCTGGCAGCTCACATCAGAGTGCTACACACATTTGTTCCTGGACCTGGCAGGGTTAACAACAGATGTTTATCGCTTACAGAGAGCTGCACAACTTTGCAAGATTTCCTTAAAAGAGTTTGATTCACAGCTATTTTAAGCAGGAAGAAACTGGGACCATCCCTCTCTTCCACATAAAGGGTGTGTGGTACCAGTGTGGATCATAGGAAGCAGGGAAAGCTGCAGGGATGCTGAGATTGGTCTCCCTGGGTCTACAGGAAAAGAAGCCAAGGAATCTGATCATGAAATAATACATGGATGTGAGAACAAGTATCTCAGTTATGAAAGGGAAATGTCTCTGACATCAATTTGCATCCACACATAGACCTGTAAGAATCTGTGTGTAAGAATGGTGTCTCGGCAGTGTAGTTACTAATGGTGACCCTGGCTAAAAATAAAAAAGAATTTTAAAAACAGAAGTTAGTGTAGTTAAGTGCAAGTCCGTTGTCATAGTTTATGTCTGTGACCCCTAGGCCTCATGCCTTTACATTATGCATTTGTGATTGGTTCATTGTTTAGGGCTTGCATTGGGGGTGTGAGTGCTACACTGGTCTAGGGGTAGAGCCAGGATGTGATGTAATGGCAGGAAGAAGTTGTGACTGATGGTTTTACCTGTTTCCTCCTTGCTGTTTGCAGCCACCATGAACTGCGGCCCTGCCATGCCACCCTGCCTTGGAGCCAACTGATTATGGACTAAAATCTCCACAAACTATAAGAAATAAACCTTTCCTTTCCCAAATCTTTGCATCAGGATTTTTGTCTCAGCAAGCAGTAAAAAGTAACTAAGACAGCCCTGCATCCAATTCCTAGAATTCAGTTAAGGAAAAACAAACAAAGAAACAAAAATTGGGAGCAAGGTGAAGGGCTACAGAGTATTGCTGCCTGGTCTTTCTGAAGAGCAGTGTGCCCCAAGTACCTTTAGCCTCCACACAATTCTTGAGCACTCTGATTTTAAAAAATGATCATTTCCATGAAGGATGGGGAAAGGAGGATGATCACCCAAAAATACAACATCTCAATCATGGTGGACAAGAAATTTTCAGTTCTCTACTAAACTGTATGGTGACTACAGTAAACTAAGAAGGATTGACTTCAAAACTCCTGAACAATGGGATTTGCAGTCCCAGTCACTGTGAAAGAATTTGTAGGTTTCTAAAATGGTAGGTACATTAACTAGATTGATTCTTTCCACAAAGGAGCCATAGATCAAAAGCATATTTTGTCCCATAAACATACATAATTATTGTGAATTTGTAAGTAAAGACAGCCTGTACCTGTACTCCCAGAACTCTGGGAGGTAAGGAAGAAGGACCACCAGGTTAAACCAAACCTGGGGAATTGAGTAAATTATTTAGATACTGTCTCAAAAAACAAACAAATAAGAACAAATTTTAAAAGTGCAGGGACATATACCTCATGCAGAAATCCCTGGCATCACTGAACATAGTACATAAACTGCTTAGCATGAAACTGCATAGTCTTTCTTTTTTTTTTTTTTTTTTTTTTTGTCTTTTTGAGACATGGTCTTGCTACGCACTTTAGGCTGGCCTTGAGCTCACTTTTTAGCCCAAGCTGGTTTCAAACTTGCAAGGATTCTCCCACCTCAGCCTCCTGAGTGCTGGGATTACATGTGTGAGCCACCACGCCTGGCTGAAAAATTTCATAGTTTCATACTACGCAGTTTTTCAGTATATAAATTTATATAAAGTATGCTATAGTGTATAAAGCATACTATATAGTTTCATAGTATACAAACTGCATAGTATGAAAACTTTCTTTATAAAAGTATTTTCATATTTTCTTTATTAGTATCTACTTATGGTACATTAAAATAAGAGGAAAAAGGGGTTGTTTACTTCGTTCTGAGACAAGGTCCTGCTATGTACTGCAGCCTGATCTTGAACTCAGAAAGTATTTCAGGCTAGCCTGGCATTCACTGTGATCCTCCTGTCTAACCCTCCAGAGTGCTGGGATTACAGGCATGCACCACCATGCCCAGCAAGAAAGTATTTTTTATTTCATTTTTATTTTTAAGAGAATAAAATGAAATGAAACAAAACATAATGGAGTGAATCAAAACAAAAAGATGAACATGGTACATGACTTAAAAACAAACTCCAACAGTAGGTTGTGTGGCCTGTCTCTCAGCCTGCCCAGAAAATGACTCAACCTCTTGCTGAACTGCAAATTTGCCAAAAATTTGGGCAAATACCTAGATTTTGAAAGATGTAAACGTGTCTTGTTTAGGCACCAATTCATATCAAGTGGCAGGGAAAGAGCAGAGAACTTTGACTTAGTATTTCCAAATTCTGGAATTTATCCCAAGAAAAACCGATATATGTTCAATGAACGTTTTCTAAGAGGAACTAGACTTGTATACATGGTCAGTAACAGGATAACTAAGTACAACTGTACCTATGTGTATAATATAAATATTCAACACTATGCAAATATATAAATGATGTGAGCAGAACTGGGGAGTAATGGTCAGAGACAGCAGAATAGGGACAAGTAGGGTATTCTGCAGCAGGGTTCAACAATGTGTGTGCGGTATTTTTGTGGACTTAAATTGTGGAATCACACTTCCTCATGCCTCAAAGCCCCATGCCGCATTCACACTCCTCACAAAACCTAAACATCCCTCACAAAACCTAAACACCCAAGTAGCGCCAATATTAAAAGAAGCAGAAAGCCCCTTATCAGTGAAATGGACTGGAGCCACAGCATGTGCAGGTAGAATAATAACTGCTATCTTTCTGTAACATCTCAGTCCTCTCTCAGTTTCTGCAGGGAGGAGCTCCTAGTGGAATGAAATCGTGGTTTTGGGGGGTAAATATCCGCGGCTCAGCATGGCCAGGCTCACTGACAGCAGAGGCCATGTGAGACCCCAAGCTTCCTCCTGCAGGTCCCGCACCAGGGATGGGCTTCCAGTAGCCTGGCTGTGCCGACCCCCAACGGAGAGGGGGAAGGAAAGGAGAGAGGTGCCCTGCGGGCGGGGGCCGGGTCGCCCCCAGCACCGTGCCCGCCACCGCCCAGGCCCGTGACCCCGCCATAAGGACTCCCTGCCTGGGCACCTGCGCCCACTAACCTGGGGGCCACCGGGCCGCGCCACCGCTCGCTGCCGGCTCCCGCCAGCCTACCTGGCCCAGACCCCAGCTCAGGCCCCGACGCAGCCTAGGCCGCTGAAGGAAGAGAGCACTGGTCTTCAGACAGCATCTCTAGCGGCAAAATGGCGACTCCAAGCACAAGACCGGCATGCACTGCGAGGGCGAGGAGGGGCGCGGGCAGGTCTGAGCTGGGATGTGGAGGCTCATGCTCAGGCCGTCCGTGGGCGTGGCCCGCCGGGTGTGGGGCAGGGCAGCAGAACCTTTGGTCCTGGAAGGGGGTGGGGCGAAGGGTGTGAGGGAAGGGCAAGGGGCAGGGCTAGAATTTGGGACAAAGCAGGCACCAAGCCTGTCAGTGGGGCAAGAATGAGGCAGTGGGCCTGACAATTGGGGTTAGGGTCCCACTGAAGCAGGATGTGGCTGCCAGTGGAGGTCTCTGATGAGGCTTCTGGGAGACTCTGAGCCCCAGGCCCACTATGACAGGAAGCATAGGAGTGGACTGAGTCCCAGACATGGAATTTATTGGTGTCTGGACTCAAATCTTGTAGCTCTGAAACCTTGGGCCCACTGCTTCTCTTCTTGGAGCCTCAATTTCCACTACTGTCATTCTCCTATTACTTTGTTTTGAAATATTGTGGATTTTTTTTCCATTAAAAAAAACCACGATGAATGGCAATACGCCTCTCTAGGCACTGCTGTGAAGATCCAATGAAAACCCTGCAGAGCTCTTCCCATGGCTCCTAGCATATAGCAAGTGCTCAGATGCCATTGTTATTTGCGATGTTGCCCTTCTTTTATTACAGAGAAATGAGTGCTTCCGGAATTCATTGTCTGATGTTTTCATATCTTAAAAGTATGTTAATATAATGTACTAACAAGTTTCTTTCACACTTATCAGTGTCAGGCCAGGGCCTCTTTGAGGCGCTTTACATATGTTAATTCTTACAAGAGTGTGTGTTAGGAATTATTTTCATTTTCATTGCTGTGTGAGCCTAGACACCAAAAATAATTACCTTTTCCAATGACAAAGCAGTGGACAGAATTTTAACCCAGCGGGCCTTATACCAACACCTCTGTTAACTAACCCGTACTTAGCACAGCACCGCTGCAGTTCCGCTTTGGATTTTTCACAGGAGTGAGGCATAAAACTGTTCATGGGAGGTTGCACAGCTAGGTAGAGGCAGTTTTTGTCAGGGTTCACTATAGGATCAGATTCAATTTCTCTCTTTGTGTGTGTGTGTGTGTGTGTGTGTGATATAAAGGATTTGCAAATTAGACTTAGGATGGCCATCTGCAGAGTCAGGTGGAGAACAGCGCAAAAGAGTCAGGTGCTCCTTGGACATGCAAAACCTCCAGTCACAAGTCTGAGGCCTGGAGCTCACTGCAGAGTCCCTGGAGAGTCTATGGCAGGGAGCAGAAGAATCTGTGCTAGGTGCCTGGAAATGGACACCTAAGGTAATGGCAAGGATTCGAACTCTTCTGAAGAGGCAGAAGCCATACTTTCTCCTTTCCCATTTTACAGCCTCCAGGATGCACGCCTATTGGTTGCCCACCACACACAGGGAAGGTCTTCCATCTTCAGTGAGTCAGTAATCTACACACAAACACAAAATTGTGCTGAAACGATCAGCTAGGTGTTCTTTGTTTGTTGGTTTTTGGTTTTGTGAGACAGGGTTTTGCTATGGAGTTCATGCTGGCCTTTAACTCACTGTGTTGCCCAAGCTAGTCTCAAACTCAAAGATTTTTTTGCCTCAGCCTCCCAAGTGCTGAGTTTACAGGTATGCACCACTACACCAAGTTCCTCCTTCATTTGAATGCACTTATTCCATCATTTTGCCATTTTCTTTGAAACAGTTCTGGAAGTCCTCTTATGAGTATCTTTAGTTGTGCTGTTGTGGCTGCCTCAATGTATTGAATCAATTCAAAATATTCATCTTTCATGATCATTTTGAATTTCAGAAGAGTCACAGGGGTTCAGATCTGGTGAATCACGTGGATGAGGACACACCGTAATGTATTTATGAGCCTTCCTTTCCATTGGATGGCACTAAGCAGCAGAATTAACTATAATTTTATTCCAATATATAAAGACACTCACAAAAGAGGACTTCCAAACTCCTTCAGAAAGTGCAAAAACAAATGGAGAAGTGTTCTTGAAGTGAGGATGTGTATTTTATTTAATTTATTTGTCTAAATAGGTGCTTTTTGAGAAGGATTAATTGCCACATATCACTATTGTAGTACATCTAAAAAATTTAAGTATTAGCGGTATATTTTGATCACCCATCGTACTTCTTCCTTCAGGTTTTTAATTAAACATCTACAAATTCAGTGTCCCCTATACAAAGTGATTGTGTCCAGAAGTATTTGGAATTTCTATAATTTTTATTGGAATATTTGCATATACATAATAAGTTATCTTGAAGATGGGACACAAGTTTACATATGAAATTTATTTATGGTTCACATATACTTCATACTCATAACCTGAAGATAATTTTATACAATACTTTTAAGGAGTTTGTGTTTGACATGTGTATTGTGTTGTTTCTCTGGTGTGGGAAGCTGAAAATGTAGATACGCATTAAAATAATATAGATATTTTGAAAATCTTCTAATGAAATGAGGAATTATGCATGTAGGAGGAAGAAAAGAAGGAAGAAAAAAGAAACAAATGATGAGAAAAGAAGAAAACAAAGCTTTCATAAACAAGGAAGGGAAGGGAGTTAAAGCAAAGTTAGCGGAATGGAGAATAACACATTCAAGGTTTTATTGTACAGTACAAATTTCCCACGGTTTCCATGATCATTATTTACACCTAAACTATACCAATAATCTTAATGAAAAAATATTTTGTGTTTGAAATAAAATTTCTTGTTGTGAATTTTTTTCACTTTTGGCCATTGTATCATTACTCAAAAGTTCTAGACCTTGAAGCATTTCAGACTTCAGAATTCAGATTAGGAAGGCTCAGCTGACATTTGGGTAGTTATTGGATAAATATCCCTCCACCTCAATAGACTGTAGGCTTCATGGTAAGAGTATGACAGCAGGTTCTTTGTCATGGTTAACGTTAGTACCCCTCAAGCCTCATGCCATCATGGATGCGACCATATCTATGTTTTCTGATTGGTTGTTTTCTAGCACTCAGATTGATGGTATGAGTACTACACCTGCCAAGGGTGGAGCCAGCATACAGTGTACCTGAGGAAAGAAGACTTGTGTTTCTCTTTTGCTGTTCATGCCTGATGTTTGTAGCCACCACAAACTACTGCCCCTCAGCCATGTCATTTAACCTTGGAGCCAACTGAGTATGGACTGAAGCCTCCAACCTGTAAGAAATAAACCTCTCCTTCTTTCATGTTAAACATCAGATATTTTGTCTCAACAACCAGTGAAAAGTAACTAAGACAACTTGTAATTACTGTTTCTCAGTGCCCAACACAATGCCTGACACAAGAATAGTGTGGTTTTGTTGACAGAAAGAAAGTAAGCAATAGCTCACAATTTTAGATTTGTATCACACAGAATTTCACTACTTCCAAGGCTGTGCTGTGAAATAAGGTCTCATCAGTTTTCCTCTCTTCTGGCACTAAGCTTGTCATTTCTTTTGCTTTATAATAGCAAATAATGTTCCTCTATCCAGTTTTCACTTACCCTTCAGTCTTAGAAATCAATTGTAAGCTGTTATACAATCTTATGCTGGGCATGTAACTCAGGACCTCATTCATGCTAAGCAAGTCCTCTACCTCATGATACATTCCAGCCCTCCCTTTTTTATTCCTGGAGTTTAGGCCATGGGGATGTACTGTGGTGGATGTCCAGCCCAAATGACTCACCAGGGAACTGCAGTTTTAGCTGCAAGCTGACTGAAGTTCCATGACAGTTTACTGTAATCAAGAACTACCCAACTGAGCATAGTCAAACAAAAAAATTGAGTAATAATTATAAAAGTTTGCAATAAGGCACTGAGTTCGGGAATGCTTTGTTATACAACAATGGCTAATGAGCAAGAAAGGAGCAAGAGAGGCACTATTTACAATAACCAAGGCAAGCAATCAGTCTACATATCTGTCAGCTGGTCAACGGGAAAAGCAAACATGGCATGCACATGTACACACATGCACACACACATCCTACTGAACCATAAAGAAGAATAAAATCTGGTTATATGCAGAAAAGTGTATGGAAATGGAAGATATATGTTAAACAAAATAATTCAGATACAAAAGAAATTGCATGTTTTCTCTCATATGTGGAACCTTAAAAAAAGTAGAAGAGGGACTACACGACCTGGAAGGAGTGTTAGGGGAGAGGGAGAAGGTAGGACAGGGGTGCATGAACTTGATTGAAGCACAATATATGCAAATATGAAAATATAATGAATCTCCTTACTCTTTACAACTAGTATGTGTCAATAATTTTAGTTTTTAAAACAGAAAGGAGATGAAATAAAATTTAAAGCATGTGGGCAGTTACATGCTAACGCAGACACTGCTGAATCACTAGCTAATCCTTTGTGTCTTTGGTAGTTTTCATGTGATAGGAGTGCCTAGATTGCTGGGAAAACATCACTGGCCATATTCAAGGCTCACACTTTTGCATGTGGAACATGAATCAAGAGGCCTAAGGCTAAGAATCTTGCTATCATTTGATAGAATTTTTTTTCAAGCAATGTACTATAGCAGAATTATTCCCTGCCTTCAGATGGCAAGGAGGTGGCTGTCAGACACCAGGAACAGGGACGGCATGCTGACTCTCTTACTGCAGAAATGACCTTGAACAGATCCTGTTGTTTTTCCACAGTTAGTTTTCTCCCTGAAAAATGATGACTTAAGTTAGCAGCTGTAGAGACTGGAGGTGAGAAATAGCATTTTGATGGAGTTCATGAGTCAGAGGTGGCCAAAGAAAAGTCTTTTGCAAGTGCTTCTTTGCCCTAATTCTGGGTACTTTGTACAACCTGTTTGGTATAATTAACCAATTATTTCCTCATCATAAAGTTCTAGAAGTAAGTTTGTTGGGCCAACAGGGTGTGACCTTTTCCAATCTGGTTACCTAGGCATTTTGAATTAATTTATATGCTCACCAGAATATCCCTATTTTCTCATCAACCTTGGCACCACTAAGTTTTTATGTTACCTGAGTTGATGGTCAATGTTTCTCAGTTTTTAAAAATTAATGTCC